TCTCTCTCTCTCTCTCTCTCTCTCTCTCTCTCTCTCTCTCTCTCTCTCTCTCTCTCTCTCTCTCTCTCTCTCTCTCTCTCTCTCGTGCGCGCGTGTGTGTGTTCTCAACTTCTCACACATCACAGCCTATTTCTTTTCTTTTCTTTTTTTCTTTTTTCTTTTTTCCGCACGTCGGTGACCAGTGCACCGCACCGCACACTTGCACCGCAGGTATGCAATGAATCAATCAATCAGACAACCAATCAACCCACTCCCGAGCGTCCCGTCAACCTTCCACCCGCCCGATTTTTTCCAAACAGAAAACAAAAAACAAATCAATCAATCAGTCAATTAATTGATCAAATTGATTGATTGATTGATTGGGAAACTATGCGGGAGTCACAACAATGAGTTATAATTGCACTATGGGCCAAGATACAGTTTCAAATTGCAGTTCGGGCAATGTATACAACCCAGCTTTCTGGCCAAGTAGGGTGCGCGAAGTGCAATTGCGAACTTTATCTTGCCCCATACTGCAATTATAACTTGTTTGTGTGACTCAACTGAAGTTACCCCTTGATTGATTGATCAACCATGTGTGTGTGTGTGTGTGTGTGTGTGTGTGTGTGTGTGTGTGTGAGAGAGAGAGAGAGAGAGCATCCCCGTCCACCCCTCCCCTGCCCCACCCCTCTCCTCCCTTCCCTCCTTCCGCTTTTCCTACCCGCCTCCCGCACGTTTGTTAACTCCCCCTCCACATTTCCCGTTGTTCCTTTTCTTCCTCCCACTCCCACTCCTCCTCCTCCTCCTCCTCCTTCTGCTGCTGCTCCTCCCGCTCCTCCTCCTCCTCCTCCTCCTCCTCCTCCTCCTCCTCCTCCTCCCGCTCTTCATCTCGCTCCTTCTCCCCCTTCTCCTCCCGCTCCTTCTCCCGTTCCTTCTCCCACACCTCCTCCTGCTCCTCCTCCGCTCCTCCTTCTTTTCTCGCTCCTCCTCCCAGGCCTCCTACCGCTCCTTCTCCCACTGCTTCTCCAGCCGCCGTTTCCTTTTTTCCCCCCAATCAATCAATCAATCAATCGGTAGTCATGATTGATTGATTGATTGATTGATTGATTGATTGATTGATTGATTGAAAAACGAAAACAAAAAGGAGAACGGACCGGTCTTTTTTTTTTTTTTTTTTTTTTTCGATTAATCGATCAATCAATCAATCAATTAATCAACCCACTCTCGTGCCTCCAGTCAACCCTCCACCCGCTCGATTTTTCCAAACAGAAAACGAAAAATCAGTCAATCAATCAATCCATTTATCAATCAAATTTATTGATTGATTGATTGATCGACTGGGTGTGTGTGTGGGTGTGAGAGAGAGAGACAGAGAGAGTGGGTCCCCGTCCACCCCTTTCCTCCCTTCCCTCCTTCCTCTTTCCGTACCCACCTAACCCCCTCCCCGTTTCTCCTCCCACTCCTCCTCTTGCTCCACCTCCCGCTCCTCCTCCCGCTCCTTTTTCCGCTCCTTTTCCCGCTCATTCTCCTGCTCCTTCTCCCGCTCCTCCTCCTGCGCCTCCTCCGCCCCTTCCCGTTTTCCCTCTTGCTCTTTCTCCCGCTCCTAACCTCCTCCCCGTTTCCCCTCCCGCTCCTCCTCCTGCTGCTCCTCCCGCTCCATCTCCTACTCCCCGTCCCGCTCCATCTCCTGCTCCTCCTCCCGCTCCATCTTCTGCTCCTCCTCACGCACCTCCTCAGCCCCTTCCCATTTCCCCTCCCACTCCTTCTCCGGCTCCTCCTCCCGCTCCTTTTCCCTTCCTCCCGCTCCTCCCGCTCCCCCTCCCGCTTCTCCTCTGCCAAACAACGAAGCGGTTAATGGAAGGCCCAAAATTCTGCGAAATTTGGCAAAATTTTCACCGAAACTGCCATATTTCCTTGAAATTTTACTTTTTTCTTGGTTTTTCTTTTTGCTTGATATGTATGTGCTATAGGGTATATCCATATTCAGTTTCGCCGTATTTGGACCAGTAACGAAAAGCTTAGCAAAAACGTCGGACTCGAAGAAAGGTTCGGCGACCTCCGAAAGCTACTCCGAATACATCATCACTCGCGGTAAGACAATCGCCATCAATACAATGGATAATTAGTCGACATCCTCATCATCATTGCAGCCCTATGGGTGTTTAGTCATTACCATAGTGACTTTTACCATTTGCAGTATCATGATCATCAGCACTATCATCCTCATTTTAGGTTAGCAATTAATATTGCTTTTGGGCAGCTTCACTAGCATGCTCACCCTCATCATATTTTTTCATTAGTCATAATTCATTTGTAGGCGAAGTGGATTGCCACTACTATCTTTAGGCTTGCTTCACGCAAATAGTCATCCATAACACTTCCATCATCATCAGTACCAACATCAATACTAAAATCATTTGAAAACTTTCAGTCTCAGGGTACCGTTTCCGGCTACCCAATTATCCAATAGTCATTAATGTTTACATCCTGATTAGCGATATCCTGATTACCTATATCTAGATTTCATATACTTTGATTACCTATATCCCGATTACCTACTTCTTGATCACTTACTTCTTGAGGAGAATTTTCTTTATTTTGTTTTTTCATGAGATTCCTTTTCTTAATTGGGGATTTTGAACATTGAATTTTGCAGACGCTTTAGTAGGGATACGACTTCGGAGGTTACAGCTGGAATTTTGGTAGGCAGGGGGTTTTTGCGACCCCAGGGTACAGACATACGGTAGTTACCCACAGCAGGTCCGAGATCCGCCTGGCCTAAGTTAGGGGACAAGCCAGGGGAAGGACGGTAGGACTGTCAGCCTGGGCTCCACCTGGCCTTGGGTAAGCTAGGGGAAGGAGAGATAGGGCTGGCCAGTTGT